GCCACTTCCTAGCTGTGGGACCCCAGGAAAGTTACTTAACTTCTCAATACTCTAGGAAGCCTGTCAAGACTCTAAGTTACAGAGGAGTTACAGTATGCATAAGTGAAGGGACCTTCTACCCTAGAGTGTTTTCTACATGGAGTCAGCCTTGAAGTCAGGAGAACCTGGGTTTGAGTTTTGCCTCTATTACATACTGGCTGTGTGACTCTGAACAAGCCACTTAATCCTCAAGTACCCCCAGGCAACCATCCAAAGCTGTGAGCTATCTGCCTTGACTATACAAATTTCCTCATCAGAAGTCTCCTAAACCACTGAAACCATAGATCTGGTCCAAAAAAAGCATAGTGATAGTCTGGACTAAACCCCTCTCTTAGCTCAGCTTTTCTTGAAAGCTTTGCCACTGGACCACCAGCCCTCGCAGGTTCCTATCGAACCAGAAGGGTGCTGAGAACAGACTCAGAGACAGATTAGTTTTGTCATGTGAAGAGCAGCCTGGCTAATTTGGGGTTGGCTCATCACCTGATGATGAATTTTTTTTGGCCATAGCAACTCACAAAGACAGTCTACTATGGTACGCAAGAGCTGTCATCTGCACCAGTGGGAGGAGAACCTACATTGGTAAAATTATGGCTCATTCAAGGTATTTAACAAGTACATGTGCGACTATATGTGTACATGTGTTTGGAGATCGCTAATTGTTGTTGTTCAGTCCTTTCAATTATGTCCAACTCTTTGTGACTGTATTTGGAGTTTTCTTGGCAGAGATACTGGAGTGGTTTGTCATAGCCTTCTCCAGCTCATCTTACAGATGAGGTAACTGAGGCAAACAGGGTTAAGTGACTTGCCTAGGGTCACACAGTTAGTATCTGAGTCCAGATTTGAAATCAAGTCCTCCTGACCCCAGGGCCAGCGTTCTGTCCACTGTACCACCTTGCTACCCATGGAGATTGCTGTACACATATATATTTCATGTTTTATTCATCTAGCACCTGAGTCTGGGACATTAGTTTGTCAGTGTTGCCTGATGTAAATATCTACCCACCCCCCAACACAGTCAGGTGATAACATCCTGTGCCTCAGAACCTTTAATCTTACTGAGGTACAGGACACAACTCCAACGGAGGTATATTGGCCACATCTCACCACAGTGAGATGCTCCCACACCGCCCTGGCTTAGACGTACCCTTGTTATCATCCCCAAGGTATCTAGGCACCAAAGAAACCAGGCCCAGCCTTCAAGTAAGTTAAGAAAATCAGGATAAGGAAGAAAAAGAATGAGATTTTTCATTCCCCTCTGTGCCTTTTCATAGGCCTGGCTCTATGGCTAGGCTAGGATGTGGGTCCTCCTCAAGCTCCTCCTCTAAAAAATCCTCTGTTTCTTCAAGGATCATCTCAAATGCCCCTCCCCACAGGAGGCCTTTCAGGAATCCCCAGGTGGGAGTGCCCTCTCCCCAAAATGACTTTGAATTAACTTCAGATATGTTTTGTATTGATAGCTCTGTCTACCCATTGTTTTCCCCGGTAGAACCTGAGCTCTTTGAAGATAGCAACAATTTCATTTCTGTTTTGGTATCTCCAGCATTTTGCACAGTGCCTGGCACCCCCCTCATCTCTGCCTTCTGGCTTCCTTCAAGTCCCAGCTTAAATCCCATCTTCTAGGAAAAGCCTCTCCTAATTTCCCTTAATGCTCATGCCTTTCCTCCACTGATGATCTCTAATTTACCCTGCAACCATCTTGTTTTTACGTTGTTGTTTGCATATTGTCTCCCTTGTTAGACTGTGACTCTAAGTTCCTTGAGATTTGGGGCTTTCTTTTACCTTTATTTGTATCCTGAGCACTTAGCATTGTGCCCGACATGTAGTAGGTGCTTAATAAATGCTTATCTAATGACTGGCCTGGTTGGTGCTTAAGAAATACTTGTCAAATGAACAAATGAATGAATGAATGAACAAATGAATGAATAAACAAAAGAATGACCTGGACTCTCTAAAGTTCTTCCCACGATGTTGCCATGGCTCAAATCACTTCTGGGACTCCTCTTTGGGAACATATTTCTAAGCCAGTTTCCCAAAAGTACAGAAAAATAGTCTCATTCCTTCACAGGTTTGGAACAAAGATCACATCCTTCAGTTTCCCCATATTTACCACATTGTCTTATGCTCCAGACTTAGCCCCAATGGCTGATTTCCAAAATAAAATTTACTCACACACACACACACACACACACACACACACAATTTCCACATTCAATACCACCATTGCTACTGGAATAGACAATTAACCACCCTATGGCTCCACTCACCCTAGAACCTAGACCAAGAACTCCTTCCCTCTGGCCACTGCTCCTCTATATCTGTTGTCTTCTATTAGAATGTAAGTTCTTCGAGAACAAAGACTCTCATTTTTGTATTTGTATTCCCAGTATTAGCACAATGCCTCGAACACAGTAGGTACTTAATAAATGATTTTTCATTCACTGAGCAGATTCAGAAGAACATGGCTCAGGCTCTGAAAGCAGTTTCCAAAAAGAAGGCATGCCAAGTGTGTTCCAATCAATGTTTGAATATAGACTCCCAAAGTGATGACTTTGAAAAGGACCATATTCATTTGGATGTATAAGTTCCACTACACTTGTTAAAATGTGGCCCCAATATATTACAGTCCCTCAGCATGGTACAATGGAAAGCATTCTGGACTTGGGGTCAGAGGACCCGAATTCGAATCTTGACTGTGCTACTTACCTCCTGTGTGATTCTGCGCAAGTTCCTTTACTCCTCATTTGTAAAATAAGAGGGTTGGACTAGATAGATTCTGATGTCCCTTCTAGCTCAGGGTTTATGCTCCTGTGACCTGGTATGTGACCCAGCACAGACACAGATGCACAGTAGTTGCCCAACAAATGTTAACTGAATTATATTTTTATGGTACCCTAATGGGACTATATTTGATCTTATCCTTTAGTAGGTTACTACTACTACCACTGCTGCCACCACCACCACCACCATCACCACCACCACCACTACTACTACCACTACTGCAACTACTACTGCAACTACAACTACTACTAAAACTACTACTACTACTACTGCAATTACTACTCCTAGCTCACATTCATATAATGTTCTAACATTTACAAAGTGTTTTTTTTTCCTCCCAATCACCCAGTGAAACAAGGAGTATAAGTACTATCCTTACTTTATTTATTCTTTGAGACTAGGTCTTCCCATCTTGCTTACCCAGGCTGAAAGTGCAAGGATTACTCAAGGATCAGATTCCACCATTGACCAGCCTGGGAGCTTTGACTTGCTCCATTTCTGACCTTGGACATTTTACTTCTCCTTTGGCAGGCTGGTGTCCGGCTGCAAGAGCCTCCCCATATTGGTGCAAGACTTAGAGTTCGATGCCTGATCAGGAACTTGCTCAGAATCACACAGGAGGTAAGTAGCACAGTCAAGAAGGATCCGAGAACTCTTGAGCCCAAGTGATCTACAAACCTCAGCTTCCCCAGTGTCAGGGACTACTGGCATGAGACAACACACCCAACATATTGCCCCTATTTTACAAGGCTTTTCTGA